AAAAAAAAAAAAGATGGGCGGTCCCGGGGGGGGGGGGGGGGGGAAGAGGCATTTTTATATAGAATCTTACCAATGAACCTCAGTACATTTAAAACAGTTATGTTCATCATCCCTATTAAACCATATGTTCCACTGACTTGCACACAAAAATGAGGATTCCCTCAGCATACCAGAGTATTGTGACTTCCATTTAGACATTCAAGGACCGTAACACTGACCTCAAGACTACAGCAATTAGGTAAAAAAAAAAAAACCCACAACACAAAAACAGAAAAACACCAACAAACAAAAATCCAAACACGGGATGGAGAAACATGGGGAAATTATACTAAGTTTTTCCATTCTATTGAACTCCTTCCCATCAAACATTTTCCACAGAAAAATTGTAGAGATGCAATCTGTCTGGCTTTTTTTTTTTTAAGTTAGTAATAAACAACAAAAGCATTCAAAGTGAAAAAACAAACATTCTTATACTTCACATTCTGTATGTTTCTATGGCACTACTACTACTGCTCTGTCAACTTAAAAGACAGAAATGTGCTAGAGTAAGCAACCTATAGCAGAAAAGGCAGGTCTTTAGAGAAGAACTATACCTGAATGAGTCTCAAAGAAGAGAGTCTAGCTTCTGGATTTCAGCAATGAAACAGTAAAGAAGTGAACATGCATCAGGTATGACAAAAAACTAATAGCTGATTAATAAAAAGAACAACTGAAAGACACATGAACAAAACTAAGTTAAAGCAGCATGAACTATAATTATCTAGGTATACACATAAAAGAGCCAATCACATTTCTAGCAAAACACAAAATCACAGTAGGTTACAATATACACATGCCAAACAAAACGAAAAGAGCAGATAGCATTGTCATACTGCACAATTAGGATAACTAACTAGAAACTACATGCTAAGCATGCTAAAAAGCACTGTCTACAAGCTTAGAGAAACTGAAGCTTTTTCTAGTCATAGCCTACAATGCTAATACCTTGACCAGAGAAGTTGAATTTACTTACCTCCTGTAAAAGATCTGCCTGTTCAATGGCTTTGAGAACATTTTTCTTGGAGGTCTCCTGAACTTCCCCTCCTAAAAGGAACTCATCCAGAATGAAATAGGCTTTTTCAAAATTGAAGATGATATCAAGTTCGCATACCTAAAAAGAACATCAAGCATTACTGCAAAATGAGAATATACTATCTATTGAGGTATATCCTCTCACAAAACTTAAGATTGTTCACAGCTTCACAAAACTTCACCAAATCAAGCTGTTAGACTCAGGCTATAACCTTTTAAGTAGTGGGGCAACAACAACAAAATAATCAGTCCTCTGAGGAAAAAAAAAAATGAGTGAAAAATCTTTTTTTTGCTTGAGTTAAAAACAGTGATAGCAATCTCTTTGAAAAGCATTTTCATTGTTAAGAAGTGTTCATTTCACAGCTGTCAGTCTGACGTGGGTCTTCATGAGGCAAGAGAATACCCATAATAAAAGTTTTCTTCTTGCCTGCAGTATCCAGAGGCAGATCATGCAATCTTACAGATCTGAAATTTCTTATTCATCCTGTGCCTTTCCTACTCAGAAGGACTAGGAAGGCAGAAGGATGAGCAGCAGTTTTTCTGAAAGTGCTAATGTACATTACTACAGTTGTTTGCATTTGCTATCCGGGTAAGCAGATGTCTGTCTTTCCTTACCCCTCCTGATAGTTCACAACCAACTGCCTCCTTCCGAAGCAGATGTAAGTGCTCACACACTGGAGCAGTGCCAAGGAGAAGAATGCTGGGCACCCAGACAGAAAGCTAAGGATAAGATTTTATCTGACCTCAAGTGAGACTAATACAAAATGAAAAAAACACAGGCAATTAACACCAGATTAATAACAGTTCTTCTCCCAGATCACTAATTTAATTTTGTATTTTAACAATTATATAGGCAATTATCAGTTTAGTTTGGCCAAGCAAGCAACATAAAATGGTAGATAACACCTTTTCAACAGCTAGTTGATCATGTTTTTTAAACCTGACCATACAAAAAGTGCTGTGGGCATAAACCAAAATGACACAATATAAAGAGACTCTGAATCTATAAAAATTAAAAAGAAATTGCTAACTCACACTGCCAAAATACTTGTCAAGAAGTTCTACATAGCGATGAATTATTTCCAGAGTTATTAGTTCATTGTCCTGATCTTCAATAGCACAGCAGAAATAGAGGCTTGCGTATCTGTAATAACAAAATAATCCTGATGTTAGCATAAGAACACAAGCAAAATAAATGCACTTGAGATGTATGACATTCTCAGTAGTCCTGCAGACTCAAGTTTACCATACTGTTACTCTAAATCAGCAGCCATGTAAGTTCTACCAAAGAATGGCTGAAAGACCAGCAGACATACATATGTAAAAAAGCAATCCTGCTGTCTCTTTGATTCAGGCAAGACTTCAATCTTTACCATCCTTTAGCTGCCATAATTAAATTAGCCTAAGAAGCAGCTGGAAAAGGAAATGTATTTGATTTTTTTGGCCTCCTGGCAGAGTTCTGCAGCAAGGTATTTTCTCTACTATCTGTAATATCCAAACACTGGTATACTAATCAACAGCTTCAATGGTAAATTTGTAGTACACAAGGTACCCATAGAGATACTAAAAAGCACAGAAAATGCCTTGGGAAAGATAAGTTGAATTAGCAATTAAGATTTGGTCTTTATAGAGACTTTAACAAATGCCTCCAAGACTCACGCTATGTCATATACTCCAATTGGTATTAAGTCAACAATGCAATCACTACCAACTATTCTGGCATCAGACTAAGGAGAGGCCATCAGCTAGTTTCTAACAATCCACTTCCACCTTGGAAGACAGGGCATTCTTTACTTCAGATATGATCCTGAGTTCCACTTCAACAAAAAGCCTCACTACAAGAAGGATGCTGAGGTGCTGGAGCATGTCCAAAGAAGGGCAATGAAGCTGGTGAGGGGTCTGGAGCACAAATCTTATGAGGAGCGGCTGAGGGAACTGGGGTCATTCAGTCTGGAGAAAAGGAGGCTGAGGGGAGACCTTGTCACTCTCTACAACTACCTGAAAGGGGGTTGTGGCGACGAGGGTGTTGGTCTCTTCTCCCAAGTAACTAGCGATAGGACAAGAGGAAATGGCCTCAAGTTGTACCAGGGGAGGTTTAGACTGGATATTAGGAAAAAATTCTTCACCAAGAGAGTGGTCAAGCATTGGAATAGGCTTCCCAGGGAGATGGTGGAGTCACCATCACTGAAAGTGTTCAAAAAACGTGTGAATGTGGCACTTCGGGACATGGTTTAGGGGGCACGGTGGCGTTGGGTTAACAGTTGGACTTGATGATCTTGAAGGTCCTTTCCAACCTTAGTGATTCTGCGATTCTGTGAAAAAGACCATCCAATTCTACTGTGCACTACCATACCCTTGTTCAAGTCATATTTAAAAAAAGCTGATGCAAAAACAAAACAGGAATGAAACCTGAAAAAAACATTCAGTCTTTTATGAAGTGCCAAGACCATATGCCATGTAGACACACATAGCACAAATGAGATTTCAAATAACACCTGTTGTAACTGATAATTTACATGAACCAGAAAGAGTTTTTGTTTGCCTGTTTACAGAGGACAACTGGCCACATCAAGCACTGTGAGTAGTCAGCCCTATTGAAAAAGTAGTAATTCAGATGTGAATGACAAGTTTAAGATGCAGGTTTGTTTCCCACCCACAGAAACACGTACACCTTTTAAACATTACACATTTTATCAGCTGAGACTTCATAAGCCCCCAAAGAAACAGACACACTTTTTGGCTACAAGTCCTGTAAAAAAATACTGTATTTTGTAGTATGTTCAAATTTGTCTCCCAGCCACTTAGCTAGCATCATTTATGACCTCAAAGTCCTCCCCTACACACTGTACTCTAGTTGAGTCAAATCATGAACAAGAAATGAGATTAACTTATTCAAAAGTTTTAAGCTATTATTAAAAACAACAACTTGCAGCCTACGACTTCTTTCCATCCTACCACAGAACATGGTGGGGGGTGGGGAAGAGAGGAAGACACCTCCACTGAAGCACTTAACACTTCAACTCCCGCACTTTTTCATCTCTTCACCATGGTGACTTACCAGCTCATCAGAAATTCTATCTAAGCACAGTTCTTCTGATTTTACACTGTTGTGTTTGTGGCTCACTAATTCTTCAAAGGACATTTACAGTCGTTGCAGTAGCTTACAAGATTCAATCTGTATAAGGCGTCTTTTAGATGAAGCTCTTTCAAGAAGTATTGGGAAGTGGTATTACCAAAAAAATGTTTTCAAACCTGCGGAGGAATTTATAAGTCAAACTCCATGGTACCGTATTTCACTGTAGGAAAGAGCTTTGGCACATTAGTTGACATTTATGCTGATTACCAGCACTCAGGCCAAATCCATCTAAACAAAGCCTTCTTCACATTCAGATGAGCAGCACTGATTATGATGAAGTGTAGTTAAACTGTACCCTTAGAATGCTTAAACACAAGTTGAATCACATACCAGCAGACCTTATAAAATCAAATTTGACTCAAATATTTGAAATTTATCCACATGGGACACCCACTTTGTGCTTCCCTGTTACTTAAGAGTCTCTTTTGATGCACAGAACTATTTTATATAAATATCCCAAAAAAAGAGGAGGCAGAAGGGAAGAGAGGGAGACTACCTAACGTAAAATACTTTACCGGAAAGCAGTCTGCTCTCAGTGTCCTCATTTAAAAGAAAACTTAACATACTTTTGAAAGACTTTATTTGGCAGCTAAGCTGTAGACTACACATTCAAGCTCTGCCAACTGCAGTTTTGGAGAAAGAATACCGAGAAACAAAGACTACTCACTGGGCATCTGAACACAAAATGGAGGCCTGGGTACCTATCATGATATGCAGAGAATATTTTTCGAAGTATTTTAAGTAGCAACTGTGACTAATGGATTACTACACAACAAAAGAAAACAAATGCAGATTTAAGAAGCCTACATGGCAAATAGTAGAAGAGTATACACAAGTCGGCCATCATTTCAAAGGGAGTAAGCATACCACAAAGATATACCTGTATTCAGACCCAAATTCTCAAAGGAAATAATTTATTGTATTTTTTTTTCTCTGCAGGCCAGCGCTTCAGAAAAAAAGTGCTCACACAGTCTACAGCACACAAACTAGAGGTTTTGCCAAGTGTAGGAAGCTTACATGGAGAGTGTCCATATAAAGACAAGTAGATTACTGTATTCGGGCTGAAAAAGATTTCTGCTCTGCAGAAGTGGTTTCTTCCTAATGAGCCTGACAGAACCCTGTCTTTCATATGCTCCCAATGAAAAGGCAAATCCTGACAGTAAAGTATGCTACATCACACAAAAGCAAATGTAGTGCAGTCTGGAAGAAACACTCTGTTCCTTTTATTCCTGTTACAATTGTGTGGGGGTTTGGTTTTTTTCCTCAGTACATATTAGTAGTAGAATCTTCAGCCCCAAATCAGCTGCTTACACTCATTTAGGGAACTAATTTATAATAACCAACCTCCACTTGCCAGAAAGGGGATCAAAACCAGAGACCAAAACCAGTTTGGAAAAAATCACCAAAGAATGTAACATCACAGAATCGTTTAAGTTGGAAAAGACCTATAAGATATCAAGTCCAACCATTAACCTAGCACTGCCAAGTCCACCACTAAACCATGTCCCTAAGCACCACATCCACACATCTTTTAAATACCTCCAGGGATGGTGAATCCACCACCTCCCTGGGCAGCCTGTTCCAATGCTTGACTACACTTTGGATATTAGGAAAACTTTTTTCACCAAATCTAAACCTCCTCTGGCACAGCTTCAGGCTGTTTCCTCTCGTCCTGTCACTAGTTACTCTGGAAAAGAGATCAATATCCACCTCATGATAACCTCCTTTCAGGTAGTTGTAGAGAGCAGCAAGGTCTCCCCTCAGCCTCCTCTTCTCCGGACTGAACCACTCCAGTTCCCTCTGCTGCTCTTCAGAAGACTTGTGCTCTAGACCCTCCCCCAGCTTCATCGCCCTTCTCTGGACATGCTCCCGAAACTCAATGTCCTTCTTGTAGTGAGGAGCCCAAAACTGAACACAGGATTCAAGGTGCGGCCTCACCAGTGCCAAGCACAGGGGCACAATCACTTCCCTACTCCTGCTGGCCACACTATTTCTGATACGGGCCAGGATGCTGTTGGCCTTCTTGGCTACCTGGGCACACTGCTGGCTCATATTCAGCTGGCTGTCGACCAGCACTCCCAGGTCTTTTTCCGCCAGATAGCTCTCCAGCCACTCCTCCCCAAGCCTGTAGCGTTGCATGGGGTTGTTGTGACCCAAGTGCAGGACCCAGCACTCAGCCTTTTTGAATCTCATACAATTGACCTCAGCCCACTGATCCAGCCTGTCCAGATCCCTCTGCAGAGCCTCCTACCCTCAAGCAGCAAATCAACACTCCTGCCCAGCTCAGTGTCATCTGCAAACCTGCTGAGGGTGCACTCAATCCCCTTGTCCAGATCACTGATAAAGTAATTAAACAAGACTGTCCCCAATACCGAGCCCTGGGCAACACCATTTGTGACCAGCCACCAACTGGATTTAACTCAACTCACCACCACTCTTTGGGCCTGGTCACCCAGCTAGTTTTTTACCCAGCGAAGAGTACACCTGTCTAAGCCATGAGCAGCCAGTTTCTCCAGGGAAATGGTGTAGAATATGGAATAGAAGAATAAAAAGGAAACACAGGAGGTATAAATACTCATACAAATTCCTGCCTTCAGGTAGATGACCTTAGTGGGGTTTTTTTGTGGAAGGAAACAGAAATTCATGAACCTCCCCTGCAGTAGTTACACTAATTCAGTAGTGGGAAGCCTCACAATTGGCAGGCAATGCTTCATCAGGGTTCTGCACTACTAGTCTGCTCACAGACAGGTTCAGTACTTCTGCTGCAGGATCATGTCACCATGGGCAAAGCATAACTTGCAAATCCCACCAGTTCAGTGGTGTTCTCCTACTAGATGAGAGAACACCTGCTTGAAGTCACCCCTGGAAGTCTGCCACCAGATAAAGCTGCAAGCCATAAGACTGCCGGCATTTAAGTCACATTGCATGTAAATTCTAACTGCATAAATTTAAAGCCTACAGAGCTTGGCAGGAGCAGAGCTGAACTGCAAATGACAACCAAGTTGCCT